CAACAATAATGTATCTCATTTAACTAAAACAATGACATATGTTAGTCAAGATCATATGATTAGACTTAAGTTTAACTAACTGATTCTAACTAACATATATTATTGTTTTAGTCAAATGAGATGTATTATTGTTATGCTAAATAGTATAGTAACAAAAAAATTAGTGAACTTCAAGATCTTGATTTTTGGAAACTTTATTTTTAACCACTATTCAAATTTTATAAGATGCTTCTAATGCTAATAAACAAATTTTTACCTACTTTGAACTAGCTATTATAGCTTTTTTTTCACTAAATAAAAGTTAGGAAGCATTTTTAATACAAATTTTCATATAAAATTTTAGATGTATTAATCATCTAACTATAATAGAAACTTTTATACTTATGATTTGTATAACAAATCATATAACTATTATAGTAAAATAGGTATTTAGTAAAGTAGTATAGTATAGTAAACAAGTATATATAGATGTACAAAAATTGAATGAAATTTTAATAGTATATATATTAAAAAAAACAAAATTTTTCATACTAGTACATATGAATTTCTTTTATATTTTATAGTACTAATTTATATGAATTTTTTTTATATACGGATACAAAGTTTTTTTTTAATATATAAGTAATGCCAAACTTTGAACTTGTAAATACTAGACTTAATTCTTGAAAAAACTTGTAATTGAATCATTAAATTATAAATTTAAAGTTTAATCTTTGATTTTCTTATAGCATTACTCAAAATATATTTGAAAAATACAATTTTTATTTAATTTTTTTTTTTTAAATAAATAATATAATAAAGTACGAATATAAACAAGTTCAAACATATTATTAATAAATCTAAACTATTTAAAATTTACAAATCTAAGCTTATTTTTAACTGCTTGTTTTATAATTCTATAGCTTCTGTTTCAGTAGCTTCTTTTCTAGCTTTAATTTGATATTCTAGTAAAGCAATCTTTCTTTTTTCTAATTCAATATTTAATAATAAATTGTTTTTATTATTTTGTATTACTGTAGTTATGCCTTCATAATTAATATTATCTATTGATTCTATTTTTATTATTTTAATTGTATCTTAAAAACTTGTTCTACAATGTAATCTTTT